GTTCGTCTTGACGAGGGATATTGGATGTTTCGATACCGTCCTTTTGGTACTTTAGTGGCTACTTTGATGACTTTTCGGGTCTTTGACCCCTCTTTTCCGATAGACGCTTGAGACGATGAAGATAGATATAACACTCATATACATCGGAATTTGTCACGCTCATTACGAGGCTATGAATAGATTTTATGTAAGCATACCAGACATATGCGACGTATGTTTAAAATATGCAAATATTTCGCGGATGTAGAACAAAGACAAGAAACACAATAGTAGTAGTGTATGATAGTAAATGATAAATAAACATAAATAGATATAAAAAGAACTGCAGTTTCTCTTAGAAAAATAACAGAATTAATCACGTTATCGAGAAAATTTAATAGTCAAATTCAGTTTCTCGAAAATGAATTACAACAAGTAGAGTTGTGCAAATTAGAAACTTGGAAGCAAAAAGATTAAAAGCATATTTTTTATTTTATCTTTTCCATAATTTTATCATAAAAAATACTGTACAAGTTGATTTATGTTTGTCCAAAAATTTTGTCTTATCTAAAATCTTCATTACATTAACGTCAATTTTCAGAAAAAAATATGTTCATTCTCTCGATGAAAATGTTAATTCTCAATGATATAATAATTCCCCATTTTTATCACTCTCTAGTCGCCAAAGAGGAAAGCGGAATTACCATTTTCGCGATAATAACGTTGAAAGCTCGACTGGTCTCTGCGTGACGGGAATGCGTGTATAATACACATTAATGCGTACACGCGGCCTCGTGACTTTCGATTAATGTATACATATAATATGCTAATTACCTTCATACAAAAGGGAAACCACTGGCACAGTCATGTCTTGCTTTGTCAAAGCGTACGTTTCGTACTTATATCGCACACGCTTTTTCTCAGTTTCACAGAAAATACTATAATATACTGATACATAATATAACACAGCAGTATACGTGTTTTCGCAAAGCTACAAAACTACGACGATATGTCATAAGGACTATTGTTTCTTTTCTTTGTGGAATAAAGTTTCGCGTCTGTTTTTCATTTGTCAGCGTGATTAAGATGGACGTGTTATAGAGGTCACCTTTGTTACTCTTTGTTGTCCTTTCCACAAAGTCTTTCCATCCCCAGCATTTTTCAATCTGTGAAAGACTACCATCCAGATGTCATTTAAAAAGAGCACGCTACGAAAATTGCATATTTCAAGAAGTTTAATAAAAAAAAATTCATTAAAATTTTTAAATAAATTATTCGATCTCGAGCGAAACAGCGTAGATCGCGCAAAGTGGCTACAACATCGTGTTGAAGCCCACGAGGAAAAGAATTGCGACATAAATTGCTAATAGTTTCAAAGTCGGACGAGGCTTCCCGCATCTATTTTTACGCGCGTTATCCGCGGGACTGCATTGGTCAACGCTGTTATCGTCGTAAACCGGCCACGCGCGCCCGAGCAAATATCCTCTTTTCACGTGCACGTATCTCCGTAATTTTATACGGTTTTTAATTTATTTAATCAACGACATACTTGGAGTTTTTTTTTCGCACGTGACATACAACTCGCAAGACATAGATGGATGAAAAAATAATTGATAGGAGTTTGTGAAATCAAAGAAAACTCCTAATACATACTAATTATCAAGAAACAATTTTCATTATCAAAAAATATTATGGCATCACGTAATTCCAATCGATTCTATATCATTTATAATATATTACTTTTTTTATGTAAAATTGCACAATATACATTACGAGTGTTGCCTCTTTACCATATTCAAGGAAATCTACCGACCGTATCAGCATTTTCGTGGAAATCGTTTAGATCTCTTGACGATATCGACTTTCATGGAAATTCATGTTAAGTCTATTGACAGTATACGATAGCTACAAATTTGAGGGCAAATTTCAATATTCCCATCACATTTGGATGAGATGCATCCTAATCTATATCTTTCTAATCTTTTGGCCATCCTTTTCGTTTTAATTCAGTTAAGAGACACAAACACGCGGACAAGCTTAATAAAATTATGCACATTACTCCTATGTTCTTTCAAACTACTATTCGAATGTGTACTTTAACAAATATTGATTGTGATAAAATATTTTGTACATATATAATTCTTTATATATTTGCGACGAATTGGCTTTTTCGCTATTAAGCTGAAAATAATTCCAATATTGTTTTTTACCAAAAATTTGACCGATTGGCGGATTAATATGTACCAATTTTTATTAGGAGTAATGTGTATTAGAAAAAATGTATATCAAAAAAAAAAAAAAGAAAAAATAATTTTTATGTATTAACACAATATTACGTTTCTTCATTTTGTTACATGCTTTTAAAACTTATTTATTTCTCTCTCTCTCTCTCTCTCCGTTAAAATAAAGTTCCCTATTCAAATTATAAGCTCTTTTGCATTTTTGACATTTTCACCGGAAAAAACCGATGCAAAATTAAAATTGCATGCAAGTGCAACAGGATGCGCTTAAAATCGTGTACCTCCCGCTATTTTAATGAAAACGCCTGCTATCATAATGAGCAACATTTCCTCTTACTTTGCCTTTGATCTAATGAGGTCTTTCGCTTTTAATGATCGTTACAATTTAAAAAATACTCTCTGAAAATATATTACGAATGCAATTCTGGCTGTTTTTACAGCCTTTTCATATTTGAAATACACAAAAGTGCTATTTGCTCTATCTGGTTCCATTATTTATAGCGTCGTATATATCATGCAATTTTAATAGTTTCTTCGCTTTTTTACAACGCGACGCGATGCGATAACCATAATATACCGCTTATCTCTGTGCCTTACGCTCTTCATCCTTTATTATATCTATATTAAATTCATTCTTTATTATTTCTATATTAAAATATGCGGTCGCACGCATCTGTCGCACGTTCACGCGATTTTATCAGCTTTTACGTCTCGCACGTAGACCTGTACGTCAGTTATCGCCGTCGCGCGGGATGAAATCAACCACCTTCGTAGTCGATAAGAAACCATTGGCTGGAGCCAACTAGGCTTATCGAGAGTCGATAAAATGCCAGCAACACACCGGAGACCTGACTCGCGCGTGGCTCAAAAGCTTCGGATTAAACTATGTGAGAAAAAACAGACACGGAGCATCGATGCATCCTATCATCTGCCACAACCATTATGCGATTAATTAAGGCATAATATATTCGACAATTTCAATTTTTATATATTGATTCATATATTTCAGTTTTTATATATTGATTATACAAAAATATTTTTTCTTTTAATTTTGAATCAATTGAGAAATTGATCTGAAAATGTTTTCTCTGTATCTGTTATGTGTATATGTATAATGAAAATATTCTCGCGACTTGCCATATGTGTTACAACTTAGTTTGCTTTTCTCCATAAAACTGCAAGTAACGGTATGCCGTTACTAAAAGTCAGGCCAAAGGATAACAATCGTAAAGAAAATCTATTGCGGTATCATAATTCTATTATGCATCACTCCATCATCGTGTCGTTCACATTGTGTGAAATGAGGAGAAGATTGATATGAAAAGATACATTACGACACTATACTTCCGTCAATTATATACACACATTTTTTTCTCAACGATATACATCTTGTCGTGTTTCTGTATAACGCCTTAATTGCCAATTAGTTACTCGAGAACATTTTTATTAAGAAAGAATATATATATATATATA